TTCCGCTGACTGTAACAACAACCGACTGTGCATTACTGTATTTTGAGATTATTCAACTGGTTCTAACACTTTTTAACACAATACGAGGATAACTAAAAAAGAGGCATTAGTGAGTACAAGTAGTTGAAATTTTACTTGTTGCAGCTACTTATACTTATCACTATTATTACGCTAATGCTTGCCGAAAGTTATCAATACCTAATCTGCAGCAAAATTTTTTGATAATGCTCTACACACACTGTGTAACAGAAGTTGAGGCCACAGCAAAAAAATTAATAAACTAAGAAAAATAAAAGATATAGATTAAAAGTTATGAAAAATTAAATATAAAAATTTACTGCTCTCTTAGGTTACTACTGATATTCCTAAAAGTCAGCTTTGTCGCACAGTTTAGAAAGATTTTCTTTTACATTAGTTATTCTGATGCACAGCTTAGTTTTCAAGAAGTATAAAGAGAATGTTTTGTGTTGATTGGTTTTGATTTCTATGCTCGCGGTAACTTGTTTGTTCGCCTGTCACCGGTCTTTTTGCTACGCGGGTCTTTGCAATATTGATAGGAGGAATTTACCTTGCCGCTTTTCAAGTTTACAAATACGCCTTAAACTTGGGTAATTAAACCCTATATAAAGCGTAAAACAATATCGAACCAAATATAAACGCACGGAATTATGCGTTTCAATCAGAAGTTAATAACACAAGAGAACACAAAGAAAAAAAGAAAATAAATTAAGGCAGGGTGAAGTGCTGTGATCTTTAAATAAATCCTTCTTTATTTTTTTTTTTTTTTGCTGTCGTCTATTTACTTTCTTATATATCCTGGTCCACCAGCTTATCTTCTTTTCCTTACATTCTTTCTCGTCAGTTCCACAATCGTCGGAGCTTGATCTTTTATCTTTTGCTTATTCTTCAGATATGCTTAATCAGCTGCTCCCGAGGTTTACAGGGTTATCTTATCTTCTTCGCCTTTTGGCGACATGAAGTATGAAAGTAACACCGCCTACAGAAAAATCGGTAAACAATATTCTATCAGGAAATCATTTTCGGTTTTAAACAGATTACTCTGCAAAAAAAGAGAAATTTGTCGCGAACGTGAAGCTGTGACCAAACAGGATTGATAAATAGGAAAACCAGTCTTTTATCAATTCTGCTCACTTGAAAAAGTTACAAAATAACAATCTTTCGGTAGCAGTTTTAAATGTACCATGCAATAGCTCGCAAATTTTACTAACGGGAGGTGGTCGAGCACGAAAAAGCACGAAAAGCCAAGTAGCCAAACGAAGCAAAGCTAAGAATCTCAACAAATCAACGCAATCAAAAAGAGTCAAATATAGACCTAATTGACGCCGACCAATTTTAACAAAAACATTTTTTAAGCAAGCAGTTTTGGTGCAGTTCTGCTTCACCAAATCAGGCTGGAAAATTTTAAGCAACATAATACGTCAAAATTAAGATTTCTAACAAATATTGTCTTTATACAATAATTAATTTCTTTTCACAACAAAACTTTTCCACTGTTGCAAAAGCTCTGCTTTGCTTATTGGTCATTATATCAAATTTACTAGTTGAAAAACTTTTTTAACCGCGTTTTGACTAGGCTAAAAAGCAATGCGCAATGAAGACATCTGGATTTGTGTACTCCCCAGCTTAACTCAAAAAAAAGTCTCTTTAGGACCGTTAAAATATACAATTTTTTAGCAAGAGAAGTACGAATTAATACCTGTCATTAATTTCTACGACAATAATGTACACTTTTCAAATCTATGCTCTCGTAATGTGTTGCTATGATGAACAAGAACTATTTATATAAATACTGTTTAAAATTTTTAGGGATTTAGATTCTACTTGAAAGCTAGCGTCAGCGCCAATTTTACAAATAAATAAAAATTCTTTATATTTAGTTTTTTCTAGCTGAATGTGAACAACAACAGCTTTATTCGGCTCATCTTTTTATAAAAAAAAATGCGCTCAAAACTACAAAAATAGTTTTGAAATTTTCTGCTCCTCAACTTGAAACACCTAAATATTATCCAGTATGTAGCCATTGATAGTGCAACGCAAAATGATCTCTTTTGTTAAAAATTTGTAGCAATGCAACTTTCCAAGAAGGCAATTCAAAGTACTTACTTTTTACTAATAAACTTCAGATTTTTTGCAATTTTTTTGAAGATCTAACTGCTGTATAGTTCCGGGTTTTTTGTTATCAATTTCGCTGAATACACAACAAAAGAGCGAATAAAAGTGAAAGTTCAGTAAAAACTAATAAAACGAGTAATATAGTGTTTTTAAGGTCAAATTAATAACAGAATTGAACGTTAATGTTTGTCGACATAACCAGGCAAAACCGATTTCTGAAATGAGAACCGTAGAACAGAATTTTTGGAGCTGAAAATTTCGCTTCTAGCAACATTTTCTGCAAAAAAGCTCGCCATAAATTTTTCTGTCTACACACTTCTTGTAATCGCAACTTAACTGTAGTTGTGTTTTGCGCTGGGATAGAACGAAACGGGTATTACAGCTAATCTAGCACCGATTTAGCGTCTTTTTTTTACAAAGAAAAGAACAGAAAACAGTTTGCAAAACAGAGACGACTAAATAGTTGCTCAGATCGTATTCAGGGTTTGCTGTCTTGACAAGAAAAATTAATCTTAAAATAAGATTCTCAATCTTGATTGCAAATCTTTCTACTTTGTGCTTTCTCACAAAAATGTAAACACTCTTTACTGCCTCCTAATCGGCCATTAAGCAGTCCAGTTTTTGAGTAGCCCTTTGTATAAAAAGCATTAGAAAATCTTTTCTCTCTGGTTTGAAGAATAAAATAAGAAACAAATATTTCAAAGTGCCTAGTTACAACAATACAAACCACTACACCCCGCATCACTTGACTGGTCGCTTTTTGTAGGGCTACGTACACTGATTTCATTTCTTCCAAATTCAGCTATTATTTTCGAGTTAACCCTTCTTACCTCAAATGCTTTTTCTGTGATAAGCTTGCGCGCCTGTTGTAAATTTATATATTTTAACATTTCTTCTATCAATAATGTTGCATCACCGTTTTAATCACCTTTTACTACTGTGCCATACTTCTCACCAAACTGTCTACCTTCCTACTGTCATAATAAGTCAAACTAGTTTATAACATCTCACTGCTGTTTACAAATCTCCGAGAAGCAAGACGCTTTCGGAACGCTGGAGGGGGGGTTCATATACTTTATTTTGATTATCATATAATCGGCATGTATCGTCGACTGCATCAAGCTGCGACGACAGCGACATCGCAGCCTGCGAAAGAGATGGGTCTTTTTAAAAGTCTTCTTCTCATTTCTATATAGGCGGTCAATTTTTGAGAACTTAGTAAATTCCACACAGGTGTGCTTAAGAGCAATATTGCCGCAACATCAGCGATAATGACAGCAGTTGACGGAACTATAGCAAGAATATGTGGTAACATTTTCAGCAACGTTGACTTTTTATTCTGAGACTTGACTCACTGTCTAAAACCGTTATGAATGATGCGTTGTAAGAATTTACACCGTGTCTTACATCCACATATTAATTTAACTTAATCGTGTTTACAGATTATAACGCAAATTGTTTTCTGTTGTTTAAGTTGTCTTTTTTAGCTATCACAGTATGCGACCACCTTAGTATTCTGTGTGTCATGCCAGTTTCTCCTCAGCGCTTCTAAAAACAGTGACATCTTCTACTATGTAAATATGAGAGGCATGAATTGTGTACGTAAAGATATTTTCTTGTGAGTCCGCGTATGTGCTCAGAGAGGTGTAGCATGCCATCGTTAAAATCAAAAAAGTCGTAATATTTCTTGCAAAAAAACCTTTACCATAATCAAAATTAGATTTCTTAAAGCATAAGTGCTAACTTCTGCCAATTATAGAGAAGCGAATAACGTTTGGAATTGGAAAGGCATCAACTCCTAGTGCCTGAATCCTGCATGGGCAGCTGTAAGTTACCAGCAACGACCTCATATCTGCCACTGTTGCTAAATTTTGAGTTCATCTGTCGTTTTTTAATTTCAATTAAATACAATACTTTTTGCGTCTTACTCTAATATTTTTATTGACATAAAATTGAAAGGTTACTAGATAGGATAACTTTTCATGGCCATTAACTTATATATTCTATTTCTCGAACTTTCAGTCGGTCTTGCAGACCTGTTTGTCAAACTATCGAAATGAAATTTATGATATTTTTTTCAATGTTTATTATTCAGGATTTTTGATTTTTCAGAAAACCTTAATTCTGAGAAACTCAACGGTATAGCGCGGTAAGAAAAGACATGTATAACGATTACACAATGTTTTTTGTTTAAAGTTTTCTCAGTGTTGTTTGTTACCCTCTATACAAAATTTTATCACTGAAGTTTTGACTACTTCAAAAATCATTGTTTAAAGCATGGATGGTTTTAAGTAAGACTTCCTTGATTTTAGTCGGCTATACTATCTGAGCAAATCACATCTTAACAAAAGCTCTTTCTTCCTTTTCAAGCAGTTTTATATTGATGCTTTAGTTGTTGTAACTGTTAGCTTTCTAACACATATTTTCATTTCCAGCAGGCGTTTTTTTTCACGACTAGTCCTCGTTTTGTTGATCTGTAATAGGCATTACTGACTGTTTACGTTGTTTTCGAGTACGCCGCCCATTCTGCGCCCGGAGTTTAATTTTTTCCTATATTAAGGTCACATTAGAGTGGTCAAGCATAGAGGTATTTACAACTGATAAACCAGGAGCATGCTACAGGTTACTCTTCAGAGATGAACTACAGATTGAGAAATTTCACTAGGAAAAATATTGAGACTTTTGGTTTTTGTTTCAAAATGATACAACATGCCTTTTAATAACTTTTTT